TATAGTAAATTACACATTTTCTTCGATGAGAGTTTGTTGAACACTGATTTTGAGAAGGAAATTTGAAGGAATTTTTGATATTTTTTGAAGGAAATTCCAGTCAAAAAAAGGAAAAAATAAGGAAATTACCAAGTTCGGAAATGGAAGCACTGGTTTAATAGCATGTATTTGTATGCGAATATCAATACCGAAATTCGGCAATTTCTACACTGTCACTGAAACCGAACGCGATTCAACAACGACAACGTCAACGCGGTGTGATTTTTCGATTTTCACTGAAGTGAAAGATAACCGTTACTGAATCCTGAGAAAGCTCTGAATTGATACAATGATAGGAATGCAACTACCTGAAAAATTACAACGAGAAATTCGACTTTTCGAGCGAAGGCCCTCCGTCGCCGTCGGGAAGTTAGTAAACTTCTCAACGAAGAGCCTTCGCTCAAAAACGTCGAAGGTTTTTAATTCTTCTATTTTTCACCCTATCAATATCTCTCAACTTTGGTCCTGGTTTAAGGTTTTCAAATATTTAGAAGCACTAGCTAGGCCTATAACATTTTGGGTTATTTGGTCTATCACATCTTTTAAAATTTCCTTTCATAGACGGTTTTATTTGCCGACTCGCGTGCGTTGGCGTTGGCGGCGTTGCCGAATTGCATCCAAGCCTGGCTTACTACTTGCTACTAGTGTTGTGGAGATATGTTGGAATATTGTTATATGAATATGCAATGAAGGGGAATATGCAGGATTTGAACGCGAAACTAAAGTATTAAGGTGTTTGCTCAACAACTATCAGTTTCGATTCTAGAGATATACTATATATAAAAAGAATGAAATTTAATAGAATTTCACGAGTTCCATGAGGAAGTCAGTCAAACAGTAAACAGTTGTGTCAGTGGAGAAAACCAATGCATGGGCTAGCTTTTTTTGGGTGCAGTAATATAGGGAAGTTAAGATACCCCGGTTTACGGGTAGCAGTATAGCGTCATTTTCGCAATTTGCATCGATGACTGTGTGTTTGTGACTGTACATGTTCTTTCACAGTAAACCATAGCTAGAGTCTATCGCGACAAACAGAAGAAGTATGATCCAACATGCGAACACTTGAGAAAATTTCTAAACAAAATGAAATTAAAATTATAATAATATTATAATAATAATAGTTGTGTCAGTGGGGAAAGCCCAAGGGCCATGCAGGTTTTTTTTTACCGGCGTACAGTAATAATCTAATAATGTACATTTGAACAGTATAAATACAACATTTTGAGTCATTCCGCCACCCGTTTGAGAGTTGGTCATCACAGCAGATTGTTATTGAATACAGACAAAATAAACCTGTACTCGCTAATATATTAAGATGCCTGGAAAAACGAGCACAAATTGTTATTCCGTGAGTATATATATATATATATATATATATATATATATATATATATATATATATATATATATATATATATATATATATATATATATATATATATATATATATATATATATCGCACGCGTAGGAGTATATATGTACTATTTAAAGCACGCGTAGGAGTGTTTTATCACATATAAAACACGACGCGTAGCGGAGTGTTTTATATGTGATAAAACACGACTACAAGTGCTTTAAATAGCTTAACAAACGACTCATCTTATACGAGTTCATTGGCGAAGTAATTTTTAAAATAAACTTTGTCTAAACCGAGAAAATCAAAGCTAGAGTTTATGTAAATTAACATGATTTTTTATCACATATAAAACCACGACACGCTTATGATTTTTCTTTGTGTTTTGCTCCTGAATTATTAATGCGTTTTTTAAATATATATATATATATATATATATATATATATATATATATATATATATATATATATATATATATATATATATATATATATAGCTTCTTTGGGTACTTATAATGTAAAATAATGAAAAAAATTTCTCGAACTCAAATTTTGTGAACCAGGGGGGGGTGTCTTTTCCAACAAACTAAAAATGGCTCGCGCACAAAATTTAAAAGCTGTAATTATATTTTGAGTTAATAGATTGAAAATTTGTCGGGTTTTTAATTACTGTACAAAATTTCAGACAATTTGGTTTAGTTTAAGCCCTTTAACTATTCATTTTGTTCTAAAAAGTCAGCCTTTCGCATGCTTAATTAATGCCTTTACCTAATTTGCATATTGCTGACATATGCAAATTAGGCAATTGCATTAATTAAGCATGCAAATAGCTGATTTTTCGGGAAAATTGTAACTTTGCGTGAATAGTTAAGGGGCTTAAACTAAACCAAATTGTCTGAAATTTTGTACAGTAATTAAAATCCCGACAAATTTTCCATCTGTTAACTCAAAATATGATTGCAGCTTTTAAATTCTGTGCGCGAGCCATTTTTAGTTTGTTGGAAAAGACACACCCTCCTGGTTCACAAAATTTGAGTTCGAGAATTTTTTTTCATTATTTTACATTATAAGTACCCAAAGAAGCTATATATATAAAAAACCAGATACAAATAGCTGTTTTGCGAAATTGAGAGCAATTTTAAATCTGTTCAGTTTTTTTTTATACACCCTGTATTGTAAATTATGTCAAATTGTAATTAGCCATTTCCCAAAGTCCCGGGTCTAGTCGCGCAAATCCCATGTTGGAGGGACAAGAAATATGGAAGCACACATTTAAATTAATAGTTTACTGTAAAAAGGAGATATTTCATTTTTGGTCGTCTAAAATGTTGATATTTGATAGTAGATACTTCTACTCTTTCGCATATTTGACGCCTGTCACCATATATTTTGTCCCTCCAAACGATCCCAAAATGCACTGTGATCTCTTTTGGGAAATGGCTAATTGGAAGCAACGCCAAAGAATGCAACTTTATTTTGAATGCAAGTTTAAAAATTTCTAACGTATCTCGTGCAAATATTTTCAAGCCTGAAAACATAAATTTAATGTCTTTATACCGTTAATTCCAAATTCCTTCCTCCACTTTAAAGCTTCCATCTAGAAATGCAATGAATGTATACATGCAGTATATAACTATATGCTCCGCTGAGATGACAGACAACTGAACCAGTTCATATTAATCAGATCTAATCAAAATATGTTTGATTGACAAAAGTATTGGGACTTTGAGTGGTAATACGTGTTGTCTGAACTGACAAAACTGTGGGGTAAAACCATATGGGTAAAACGAACTGTAGTGACACCCTTTTAAACAAACCGGATTCTCAGAGAAGTGAGATAACCTTAGCGAATGCGTAAGGAACTTGTTATTTATTTTACAATATTCATTGAAAAAACCCGGCTACTAACCAACAAGCGATACCGCAACCGGTGAACCGAAACATGTTCGACGGCGCGCATGCAAATTATGGCACTTATAGGGAAAGCCTCACATATCGATTTTGTCCACGAGAAACATCATATGTTCGTTTGGGGGTAAGCAGCTGTGACCTTTCTCTGTAAAACATCATGGAAAAATTCGATAGTTTTTTCGCCTGACAGCCTTAACATTTCGGAATCATCTTTGCAGAATATAAAAAGAAAACAACTCATGATACAATTAAACACCAGTCTATACATCCGTAATCAACCATACCTGTTCTATACATTTATATTATTACGCCTTCCTTGCATTGAAAACACTCAAATTTTTTAAAAAAACGCGCTAAAATTATCAATATTTCATGCAAAAAAGTTGAAAATTTTGTTCATGTTATATATTAAAGTTCATATTATATATTAATAAAAAACATGTCAGCAGAAGATGACATATTCCTCGCGGAAGCATCGCCAATAGCCGACCGTAGAAAATTACCTTATGTGTACTACAGGGTGTATAAAAAGAAACGGAGTCGTCCTAAATACCCTTATTTCTATCGTAAAATAAACTTCGTTTTGTGCTCAATTTAAAGCTTGTTTTTTCATCTTTCGAATGAAGGGTTTCTTGAAAATTTTGAACTAAGGCTAATCGCAATAAAAAGAATTTAATACAAGCGCTCGTTTTTAGATGCTTCGAAATATTAATCTTCGAAGTCCCTTGGGGACTTAATTAAAGGTAGTTTGCTAAAATTTAGAACGTTGTTGTTTAAAACTTCACAATCACCATTTATAATGCCAAAGCTAACAATTCCGGAAAGAACATTCATTGTTGAAAAGTATTTCGAAACAAAAAGCGTTGTTGCAGTGTTAAGACAATTTCAAATAGCTTTAATGTCAACAATACCGGCTGCATGCATTGAATGGAAGAACCACCCCATAAAGTTTAAATCGAAATAAAGGAAACTCGGGAAGAAGAAGAGTTGTCTTGGATATGAGACAAAGAACGAACTCGTGTGAACTTAGAAATGGAGGCCACTTGAGTAAATGTGTACTTCCAACTTATTTTTTGGAACGTTTAAATAAATTGTGAATTCAACACATCTACGTTTTTTAATTTTCCAATTGCACTTACTTAAATTGACACAGCTCGCCAGCAATAACTCCAAATTTTATAAATAAAGTATATAAAATAGCCGAAAGATCGCGATTTTGAAAGAATGCTGCAAGTATAAACGTCTAACTTTCATATTCGCTTTGAAATTTACACTTCATTGTTTTTTTTATACACCCTGTATAAGAACAAAATATCGATAACTATGTGTGACGTTTCTAACGGGGGGGCTGGGGGGGGGTCTCCAGAGAATCGTCCACATGACGTTTCTTATGGACAAAGTCGATATGTCGACATGAGGCTTCCCTTAATTAATCACCGTGCGAGACATTAACGATAATTTTCAGGGGGAGGTTCCATCTGCCGTTGCCGTTGTCGGCTGCAGCAGAAAACGGCTCACTATTATGAAAAGCCGAATCACTGAAAGAAATGCTATAGCTAAGGCTAAGGCTAAGAAATGCTATTTCTTGCATTTTGAGAGCAGTTTTAATCCGATCAGTGACAATGACTATAATTTTATAGTAATTTTATATTTCACAATTGTACTCCATGCATTCCTAAAAATTACAAATATTCTTGGTCCAAAATGTTCCGTAAAAATTAAAAAGACTTATACCATTAATTTCTGGGCTTTATCAACATTGCCATCTCTTCCCACCAAGAACTGTTGCACAAATAGGTCATCTGATTTCACTCTTGAAATATCACGTGAGTCATAGTAATTCTTATCTGAAGCTAAATATAGATAGATAGATAGATAGATTTCTTCTAATAACTCTCCAAATTATAGATATAATATAGATAGCTGAGATAGATAGATTGATCTCCAAATTTCAATCTTGGTAATTCTAACAACAATGAACAAGTTAAAGGTAATCCAACTTTAGCATGCCATTGTGGGTTAATTGCTTACATGGATGTATTTTTTTCATAACCATAAAGATCATGCTTTTAGCTGTAGGATGACACGTTTTTCATCCTATATATTTAATATATGGAGAAAAAATGAGCAAATACGAGTCCGATAAAAATTGTTTTTCGAAATTGCATATTTTCACCGTTGAGAATTGGGTCTAAAACTATTGAAAATTAATTCACTTCAGGACTTAAATCATCAATTTCACTTTTGCTATGCGCAGGCATAATTAGGCGCAGAGGTGAAAATATACGAGTTCGGCAGACAATTTTTGTTGCACTCGTATTTGTTCATTTTTTCTCTATAATGGATGAAAAACATGTCATTCAACAGTCAAAAACCTGATCCCTATGATTATGAAAAACGTACGTTCCCCGAGTATTAGTAACGTACAAATGCATGCTAAGGTTGGATTACCTTTTTTATACACCCTGTATATTAATTAATGAAAGCAAATATGAAATTTAAATACTAAGAAAGCATCTTTGAATGGTATGCAAATGAACTGACACGCCCATGCATATGTATTAATCTCTTCTGTATAGTGTTTGGCAAAATGCTGTTTAAAATTGCTTGGTAGGCCGGTTTTATTACAGTACAAGCCTTGGCTTGACATCGGACTAACTTAGTTTACGCTAACTTGCTGTTAAGCCAGTCAACTGACTAATAAGTCGAAGCAAAATCCGAGCCAAGACCAGATCTTAGCTTGTATGGTTAACGCGCCAGAAGACATACTGATTAAGACTACCTTCAATAGATCAAATAGACAACTTCTAAACTTATCGTATTAAATTGTAAAGCCCAACTAACTTTCTGGAACGATATTTTAACGAACGACCTAGTTTTGACGAACCAAAGTTAGCGTCGGATTTTACCTAAAGATGGCATAACAGGATCCTATCTGCCATATTCTGGCTTACCATAGTGTTTATCCAGGAATTTCTTCCTTAATTCTGATACTTTATCCATATAGGGTCTTGATTCAACTCCGCTTGCCATCCTTCGATAAGGCTTCTTTCTTGGATCTGCGCGTATCTGAAGCTATCTGTATTATAGTGGTGCCTGTTTGATGCAACTGTTTATTGTACATGTACATAAATTATTCAAACTGCATATGTTTACTTGCTTTGCTGAGCACCGACAAACACGAGGGCGGCATTTCTGAAACCCATTGATTTGACATTGAAGATTGCTATAGAACCGGCCCTACGAGACACTTCTAGGGTATGCGTGTTTTCTTATTGAGCGATGCACGCACAAGTCTAGATCCTCCTAAATATCACCTGATTAATTGATTAATTATTATTTGTAGACACAGAGCGAGAAAGATTAGGCGAAATATTACCCAAAATTTAAATCTGATCCAAAACTTAGAACAACACTGCCACTGGTAAACGATTTCCGGCGAAATGATTTTGTAAAACAAATCTAAATATAAACTGCATAAGTGTTTCTTCACGCTGGGCTACAAACTCTTTTCATCAACTCAAACTGCGCTCCCCAACAAACGTTTTAATACGCCTGACGTTTAAATAAAACGGGTAAAACTTTGAAACGTTTGAATCTCATAAAAATGTTACTTATATTATCGTATTTTCTTGGAGATGCCAACTGTTCTAATCTAGCACAAACAATGCGTCGCACAAGTATTGACTATTGTCCTAATCCAGTAATCCCAACTCTAATTACGCTAATATTCGGTGACTAAACTCGAATAGTGGGTGGCAATGTAGGTAGTGAAGTCTACTACCTGAAAAACAGACTTCGACTTTTTAAATTTCGAGTAAAGGCCCTTCGTCTGGCAGCTAGTTCGTCAGGGGAGAAGGGGACGCATGAATTGTCAAGTTTGTGGAATTTCCGTTATATATTAAGTATTTTCATCTCCTCGTTGCATTTTATTTGTTCAATTGGATACCATATTAATTTGCAATACACTAGAAACATTTTTGCAGCGAAAATTTAGTAGTTTGAAGCATAGAGAAAGTAATATTTACAATGAAAATTAATCCAAGAAAATATTGAAAATCAAAGTCCAAAGTTCCTTTAAGTCCAGCTAATCGGAATCATTAAAATCAGTCATAGTGACCAATCGGAATCCACTGCTGAGATATGTGTAGCTTTGCGGGGATTCGACAACCTTCCGCGTGATTTTTCACAGACTCTGTACACGGGCCACTTGACCATATAGACTTAGATTGACCACTGGTCGTCGCATGTCTGACAACATCGTCGCATGTCTGACAACATCGTCGCATGTCTGACAACATCAACGACATCATCAACATCAACATCAAGAATCCAACTACAGGCCGTCTGGCAGAAATCGAACATTCGGCGTTGCGATCCCGCTGCAGCGCTACTAGGCCAACTGGGCTACAGAGTGGCCAGTTGGCGAGCTCTAACCACAAATTCATTATTAGCAAGTTATAGCGCATATAGGCATACCCTGCTCATTTCGATTCACATGTTGTTGGTCTAGAATGTTTGAACGTAACTACTTATAATTACGTGACTGAACAGTCTTTTTTATCAGTAAATATTTTATTATTATTATTATTATTATTATTATTATTATTATTATTATTGAGGAGTTGCTGTGATCTACAATATATTGAAGAAAATTGTTCTGACTTGAGTATAAGTTGAAGAACGAGCCTTTATTTATATGTAGTTATGAGCATATCGCTACAAGTATAAAACCAAGTGAGATACGTGAGGCAAAGCGAAGACTCAATGCCGCCTAAAACGAAAGCTTCGCAGAAGCGTACAAAATGGACAGACCAAATGATCGCTGATCTTGTGACATGTCGAGCATTAGCTCTAGCAAAACATGCAGATACATCAAATATAGCAGAAAATGTGAGCGGTAGGCGAAAGGGTTATATGGAAATAATGAAAGATTTATGGGAAGAGAAAGGGTATGCATCACATCGGTTCTCAGCTCAAAATCTACGAGATAAAGTAGCACAAGTTCTAAAGAATAAAGAAAGAAAATTGCCGGATACTAACTGCTCGAAAGACACCAGTGACGTATCTATAAATTTCTCTGAAAACGATGTGTTTGATTCGGCTCAAAATCAAAACAACCAACACGAATATAACAATGTAGAAATTGAACCTGATAAT